CTGTGGTCACCTGTGCTCTCCACGCTGGGGAAACTGGAAATGGAATTCAAATGTTCGCGGGTCTTTTCCTGTCTACCTGGCCAGTGCATCCGAGTTTAGATTGCTGTCCAGAGCGGTCACAATGATGCACTGTGGGATAGCTCCCGGAGGCCAATACCATCGAATTGCGGCCACACTAACCCTAATTCGAATTGCTAAAATCGATTTTGGCACTACTCCGCTCGTCGGGGTGGAGTACAGAAATCGATTTAAAGGGCCCTTTATATTGAAATAAATAGCGTCGTTGTGTGGACGGTTGCAGGGTTAATTCGAATTAAAGCTGATAAATCCGAATTAAAGTCGTAGTGTAGACCAGGTCTGAATAATACATACCTGACAGCTCAATTCCTTGCAATGCTTCCATTGGTGAGGAGCATGCATTCAGTCATTTCATGGGGCAGAATATTAAGGCTATTAAGATTTGGGAAACTATTCTTCCTAGCATCTTCCCCTTGTAGATTGCAGAGTTGTGTACACACACACACACACACACACACACACACACACACACATACACACACACACACACACACACCTCCCTGTTACACCCCAATCTAATAGAAAGGCTGGGAGGTCTCTAAGTTCATAAAAAGAAACAGATAGAAAAAGAAGCAAAACATTTCTAAGATTATAAGGGGTTGGATCTCTGCACCTCTCAGTCTTTGGATTTACATGGAGTAGGAACTGTAGCTGCAGTTTAGGAACCAGGTAGTGGCATAGATGGTCCTGCACTTCGGGCTAGCAGAGTTTTGTTGACATTGTGCTTCATTCCCCAGAGGCAATCAGTCCTGGGATCCTGGCAGTGAGTCTCTCTGAGGCTATGTCTACACTGGCAGAGTTACAGCACTGGGAGTTCAGTGCCACTCAGAGAGCACTGAAGGGAAACCGCTATTGTGTGTTCACACTGTCAGCTGCCTGCACAATAGCGTGTTCACACTTGTGGCAGTTCAAGTGGTGTTCGCAGCGGTGCACCCTGGGCAGCCACCCCACTAAGCATTGCTTCCTCTTCTGCCACTAAGAGTTGTGGGAAGGTGGAGGGGGTCGCAGGGCATCGCATCCCAGCAATCCCTGTGCTTCCGTCCGCATTTGATGCCATCTTTCAATGGTTGGTGTATTGCGCATTCTGCCTCTTCATGCTGCAGGAATAGATCCCACACTGTTGACCAATATGCTACATGTCATGAGTGGCAGTGGAGTTATTCCTTGAACTACAAAAGGAGAGGAATTCAACATTGAGCTCATCACGCATAGTAGCTATGACACAAGATTGCTTGTGGCATTCACGGAGGTGCTGACCACAATGGAACACCGCTTTTGGGCTCAGGAAATAAGCACTGAGTGGTGGGATCACATCTTTATGCGCATCTGGGATGATGAGCAGTGGCTGCAGAGCTTTCGGATGACGAAACCCACAGTCATCCATCTAGCCCAGTGTGCTGCCTGAGAGTGACCAGTGCCAGAAGGTGTCAGAGGGAATGAACAGAACAGGCTTGTTGACCTGCAAAGTGAGGGTCTTTCACCCTTACCTTTAACTTTATTGTCAATTCCTACTTATCCTATCTTACCACTCCTCCCCCAAGGTCTCTGGGCAAATTAGGTGTGAACCACTCCTTTATTATATAGACGTGTCCCAATCCAGCTGAATTGAGGCAGACTTTGGGCAAATGTCAGTTTGGAAAAGGCCCACTTAACCCAGCAGGTTTCTCATGTAGTGTTGATGTGTGAACCCCAAAGATATCAAACATGAAAGAAACACAAGGCCAGTTTTGGGGAAGTTTCCAGAGCTAGCCTGTGGGTTAAACAGCTGTGCTCAAAAGGAAAAGAGTCCTCAGCACCTATAAAGATAACTGGTTGCAAAATTTAAATTAAATTAAAAAAACAAAACAAACCGAAAAAAACAACCCAGAAAAGCTACCACCACACATCCATCACCATTTTAGATTTTGACATCTTTTCTTTGCAAACAAGAGACCTGGAGAACTCTGTGGCTGTTACCCTCTAACTGGGTAAAAAGTTCCAAATCTTGTCTCAAGTAAGTTTTCTCTTAACAGAAGATTTAAAATTTATCAAAATAAATTCAATTTTAAATAGAAATAATTACTGTCTCTACTGGGTCTCTATTCTCGTACATGCTATTTCTCTCACATATTCCCCTGCTCTAATTCCTTTGGAGTGAGGTTTTAATTTCAGGATTAGCCACCATTTCCTATGTAGTAGGAGAAGGCAAGGAGAGAACTAGAAGAAAACCTGAATTATATTGTAACATTGAAAATTATCACATAATCAGCCTCTTACGTTACTAATTAACTTCATGTTTAATTTCATTGTTGCTGGTAACAACTTATTCAACTATTACAAAATATAAACCTATAGGACAGTTTTCTCTTAATTCCCATTTCCACCCCGTGAGCTTTGTGTGAAGTCACATTCTACAATAACCTAGGAGCCTTCCATTTCTGTGAGTTCATTTCTCCCTGGATCTTCTCCCAGAAGTCTGGGTGGAAGGGGTCTCACACTATGTGGGAAGACTGCATCATGAGAAAAAACCACCTGTGCTCTATTTTCACACTTTCTAATCCTTCAAAGTAGCAGCAGGAGGAGAACTGATTCAAATGCATTAGACTTAATAGCAAAACCAAGAGACCAAACCAGAGACTCTGGACTCAGCATTCATGTATCCTGCAGTCTGAACTTGGAATCTGATATATTCCCTCATTGGCTACCATCATTTGCCCAGAATGGAAGTGCTTCCTGTTCAACAAGGCAGCCAGATTGGATCCCATAGGCATGGAATGGCTCTGAAGGAATCAGCTGTTTCTCTTTGTGCTTCATGAAACTTTGAATCCAAATGGTAAAAGACAGTTGTGCCCAATTGAATCATGGCATCCTTTAGGAGTGTGATCAATGCCACTTAAAAAAGAGCAGTGTTGTAAAAATAGTTTACCTTGGCCACAGGTCATAGCTTCCATCTCTGGGGTGAAAATCAACCACTAGTTCCTGCAATTTCTACCTGAGTTCTTGTCAAATCTTTGACTTTATTTGGAGTAATTTTACACTTCTCTGGTGTAGAATTCTTCACCAACCACACAACATATCAGTAGCGATAGTGTGGTATAACTCCCCCAAATATGCCCTTTTATTTCTTTAATCTGGTGGCACAGATTTTAATTAGGGACTAAATTCAGGTGCTGCTTAGAATCCCTGTAAGACACCAAATGTCAGGTATCTATTCAAAATAGGTATCTTTCTGCAGCTATATCACATTCAACATGGATTTCATTTCCTAGACATTTGCAGCATCTCCCAGGGGTGAGCTGAACAGAAATGTCACTTCCATTTTTCCCATCCCTACCTAGATAATTTTTCCCAAATAATAGGCAACATGCAGCTGATTAGGAAGAAGATATCTTCAGGAGCGACCTCCTGCAGGGCCTGGGCCACAACTGCTTTAGGAGCCAAATGCATGGGTATTTTGCTTATTTCCAAGTCATTTACCAGGGAATACTCTTCCCAGACCTTTAGAAAAAATATTGACCTAACCAATTGAACAACAGGGGGATTGGGATGGTGATGGGGAATAAGGCAATCCCTCTGATTTACCCTATCTTCCTCTACTGTTACAGAGGGTGAAATGAAAATTTTCCCTATCCCTGCTCTTTCTTATAATTCAATATATTTTAAGTGAGGAAAACGGTGGTAAAAATATCTGCTCTGCAGCACAACCTGAAGCAACATCAGAGCAACTGGGAATGAAAAAATTTGTTCCCGAAGGGGAAACTTGATGACTAACAATTGCTTTCAAATGGGGGAACAGCATAAGTGAGATGCTCAGGGTTTGTTTAGACTAGGAAAAGTGATGGAGTTTAGGTCAGGTCAAGGGGAAAGCTAATGCCAACCACTGCGTGTGCTCTACAACTATAATTGTCTTTTTACACCAAGATCACTAACTTGAGCAGCCAATGCCATGCACAGTCCTAGTGGATGTAAAGCACAGGTAGTTTTTGCCTCAGTGTAGCTTGTCGGGATCAAACCTCTGTCTCCCACCTGGAGCGGATGAACATTCCTGGCTGGTGGGACACACACACCTATGACTCAAAAGGAAAGCAGTTGATAGAAAAGATCAGAGGACTGACCCCAAAGAAGGTGAGATGCAAAAGGCAGAAGCAGGCAACTCATCTGGTGGACCCAAGAGACCACAGTGAACATGGTGCACAGATCACTATGTGAGAATTAGCAAATGTGATTATTTAAAAAAAAAATCTTTGCCCAGCCCTAATCAAGGCATTTGTTACAGTTCTCTCATAAGGATTTTCTGATGTTTAATAAGGTGTGAGCTCTTTTTGAAGCTTTTCCCACACTCAGAGCATCCATAAGGTTTCTCACCCGTGTGGATTCTCCAGTGTATAATCAGGTCAGAGCTGCAATTGAAGCTTTTCCCACACTCAGAGCATGTGAAGGCATCTCTCCTGTGTAGATTCTACAATGTGAGAAACATTGTGAGTGCTGACTAAAGCTTTTCCCACACTCAGAGTATGTGTAAGGCTTCCCTCCTGTTTGGATTCTCTTATGCGTGATAAGGTTTGAGCTCCGATTGAAGCTTTACCTGCACTAAGAGCATGTGTAGGGGTTCTCTGTGTGGATTCTCTGATGCGTGATAAGATTTGAGCTCCAATTGAAGCTTTTCCCACACTCAGAGCACGTGTAGGGCTTCTCTCCTGTGTGGATTCTCTGATGTGAGATGAGGGCTGAATGCTGACTAAAACTTTTCCCGCACTCAGAGCATGAGTAGGGCTTCTCTCCTGTGTGGATTCTCTGATGTGTGATAAGGTTTGAACGCTCCCTAAAGCTTTTCCTGCACTCAGAGCATCCATAAGGTTTCTCACCCGTGTGGATTCTTCTATGTTTGCTCAGGGTAGAGCTGTGATTAAAGCTTTTCCCGCACTTAGAGCATGAGTAGGGCTTCTCTCCTGTGTGGATTCTCTGATGTGTGATAAGGTTTGAACGCTCCCTAAAGCTTTTCCTGCACTCAGAGCATCCATAAGGTTTCTCACCCGTGTGGATTCTCCTATGTTTGCTCAGGGTAGAGCTGTGCTTAAAGCTTTTCCCACACTCAGAGCACGTGTATGGCTTCTCTCCTGTGTGGATTCTCTGATGTGTGATAAGGTATGAGCTCCGACTGAAGCTTTTCCCGCACTCAGAGCATGTGTAGGGCATCTCTCCTGTGTGGATTCTACGATGTGTGATAAGCTGTGAGCTCCGATTGAAGCTTTTCCCGCACTCAGAGCATGTGTAGGGCATCTCTCCTGTGTGGATTCTATGATGTGCGATAAGGTGTGAGCTCCAACTGAAGCTTTTCCCACACTCAGAGCATGTGTAGGGCTTCTCTCCTGTGTGGATTCTCTGATGTGAGATGAGGGCTGAATGCTGACTAAAGCTTTTCCCGCATTCAAAGCACATGTAGGGCTTCTCTCCTGTGTGGATTCTCTGATGTGTGATAAGGTTTGAACGCTCCCTAAAACTTTTCCTGCACTCAGAGCATCCATAAGGTTTCTCACCCGTGTGGATTCTCCTATGTTTGCTCAGGGTAGAGCTGTGCTTAAAGCTTTTCCTGCACTCAGAGCATGTGTAGGGCTTCTCTCCTGTGTGGATTCTCTGATGTGTGATAAGGCTTGAACTATGACTAAAGCTTTTCCCGCACTCAGAGCATCCATAACATTTCTCACCCGTGTGGATTCTCCTATGTTTGCTCAGGGTAGAGCTGTGCTTAAAGCTTTTGCTGCACTCAGAGCATGTGTAGAGCATCTCTCCTGTGTGAATTCTGCGATGTGTGAGAAGGTGTGAGCGTTTGCTGAAGCTTTTCCTGCACTCAGAGCATGTGTAGGGCTTCTCTCCTGTGTGGATTCTCTGATGTCTGATAAGGTGTGAGCTCCGCCTGAAGCTTTTCCCGCACTCAGAGCATGTGTAGGGCTTCTCTCCAGTGTGGATTCTCCAATGTGTGATAAGGGCAGAGCTTGAAATGAAGCTTTTCCCACACTCATGGCATGTGTAGCATCTCCCTTCCAAGTTGATTCTGTCACGTGCAATAAGGTCTGAGTGGCTACTGAAGTTTTCCGCTAACATCTGCTGAGTCTCACAGCCTTTTGCTTTTTCTGGGAGTGCACAACTCCCAGAAACATTCCCTTTGGATCTTCCTGATAACGTTCCATGTGGTTCTACTTGCTCAGCATCTTCCTGATCGGGTTTCTCCTCCTCATTCTCACTCACCATCCCATCACCTGATGGGAAACAGAGAGAATCCAGACATAGGTCACTCCTTGTGCCAGAAAGAAAGGAAATCTCAGAGAGAGGAATGGAAAAAGGGATGAACAAACCAAAATATGTGTGGGAGAGATCAAACCTATCAGGAGCTGATTTTCCCCAAACCCTTCCCCAGAGGAGAGAGGAAGGGATCAGTTTTGGTCCGCATCTCACCAGAACACTCAGGGGAAAGCGAGATCTGGGAGTGACCTGCTGCCAGTTGTCAGTCAGAATAGGTGGGAAGCCATGAGTGACATCTGCCATAATGATTCCATTCTGCAGAGAACTATCCTGAACTTGGAGAGCTCACAGGGACTTTGTAGGGCATCACAAATGTTTTCTGCATTCCTAAACAGTTGTTGAGTTGGTTTAACCAATTCCTCACCTGTGCAGGCAGCTCTCGGGTGCACTTCTTTCTCGGAGCCCTGGAAGTCAGGGATCCACGGCTCTTCCCCTTGTTCCAGCTGTGAGATCACATCAGGTTTGGAAACTGGAAACCCTGCTCCAGGCAAAGAAAAGAAGGGAAATCAGTGGAATTTGTGGGATACTTGTCACAAAGAATATTGCATGGTTTTAACCCCAGCTCATTTTTAAGCAGTAACATCCCGAGGCCAGCTTCCTTGGCTCAAAGTTGCTGGAGAGTTATTATTATAAATCATATTCATTAACTTAGTGCCTAAGGACCAACTAACAGTCAGTCCCCATTCTGCTAGGCAAAGTACAAACCCAGAATAGTAGATGGCCTATGCCTTGAAGAATTTACAATCTAAATAGACAAGACAGAGACACAGAATGGGGGAAGGGGTAGAACCCACTGTTAGAATAGAGATATTGTGATAGACCCAGGCCAGTTGGGAACAGCAGAGTAGTCTTATTGGTAGCCAGGAAGTGGGAGGGCAAAGCCCGCCCACTACTACAGGACCTCCCCCCAGCCTAAGGGAAGGATCCACAGGACCTGGATAACCAAGTAATTCTGGAGGACAACTAATGAAATAACAGGGATAGGAGTGTGGTAAAAGGGCTAAACAAAGGGAACTTGATGGGGACACCGAGCAGAGATCCTCGGACACCGCCCACTGCTCCTCGAAGGTGTCAAGGGAGTCAGCAGATGCCACCCAGAGGAACTCTGCCCGGATGCATGAACGGACTGAGGAACGGAAATAAGCCCCACAGTCACAAGAAATTCTGTCAGCCAACCTCCTCTCCCTGGTTTTGTAGATGGCTAGTTAGGACAGGGCTAAGAGTAGGTTGACAAGGAGATCCCGTGACTTTGTGGGGCCACGGATGGGGAGTGCATAGATGAACAGGTGAGGGGAAAAGTGCAACCAAAAACATAATAATATATCTACGAGGAGCCGGAATAGGGGCTGCAACCTGGCGCACTCTAGATAAACATGCGCCAGGGTTTCCCTCGTGCCGCAGAAGGGGCAGGTGTCCGGGATAGGGGTAAACCATGCCAAGTACATGCCTGTGCTGACGGCCCCATGAAGGACCCACCAACTGATATCCCTGGTGGGCCTCGGGACCAGGGTGGAGTACAGGCTGGCCCACTGGGGCTTCTCACCCTCGAAGGTGGCAGAAGGTCCCGCCACTTTGTGTCGGGGCGGGTCGCGAGGGTGAGGAAATGAAGGGTGTGGAGCACAAGCATGTACAGATGTTTCCTTGGCACAGTCTGTAACCAAACCGGCTGCAAATCATGCAGCTGACTCACGGTGAAAGGGTGGAGGGGCTGGGTGGGTCCACGGGCAGGGGCCCAATGAAAAGGTCTGGAGGGCCTGGGATGGAGGGTGGGTGGGGCGTGCCCTCTCGCAGGACCCTGTCGAGGTAGGCCCGAGCAGCGAGCGGTAAAGCGGCCTTCACCTCCTGAAGTATGTGCTGGGGAGTGCGAGGTCTGGAGAGCCCCATCTGCTGAGCGAGCATCAGGGGATCCAGCTAGTATTCCCGGTCGTAGTCCAGGAGGTCTCCAACTCTGGTGACTTCTGCCGAGACCAACCTCTAGCACACCGCGGGAGACTCTGCCATCTGCACATGAAGCTGGGGGTTGTGTAGCAGGGGCTCCATGAGGAGATCAGCCCCCACGGCGGCCGCCACGGACCTGGTCATTGAAAACAGCTTCCAGGTCCAGAGGAGGTCTTGGTAGAAGACCGGCAGCCCGGAGAGGTCTCGCGGAAGACCCCTCGGATGGAGATAAAGGAGCTCCTGGTCATATCGGAGCCCTTGGAAGCGGTGCAGGAAGGCTTGCGCCAGTACTTTCCACGCCGGACTACCTGCACCATACAGGAGCCTCTGCAGGGCCTGGAGGTGGAAGACGTGGACCTGAGTGTATAGGCACTTCAGGCCCTGCCCTCCCTCCTCCAGGGGCAGGTGGAGGACCCCTGCAGAGGTCCTTTTGGCATTCCTGGTCAAAAGAACTCCACCATCGCCATTCAGAGGTTGGCCAGGAAACCCAGGGCCAAGACCAGGGTTTTGAGCTGGTACCAGAGCATGGACAGGACTAGTTGATTGTACACTAGTGCCCTCCCTTGGAGGGAGAGGCACCGGAGTAGTTCTGTCCATTTTCCGGAGACACTCCATCACCCTGCCCTCTAAGCCGTGCCAGTTCTCTGGTGGAGACGGATGCGTGGCAGAAAGGTAAACGCCGAGATAGAGCAGCAGATCCGCGCTCCACCGGATGGCCTGAAGCACGGGTGGGAGGGAGCTCGTGTCATCGTATGAAAAAGACAAAGTAATGTCTTGTTCGATTGCAAGAATAGCAAGACCAGTCAAGCATTCCTGGCTCATTGTAGAACAGAGATAGTTTTTAATGAACTTTAGTTTTGAGAAACTCCATTCTCCTGATGCTACGGTTACAGGAATTGTCAGTAGCATACAAGTGGCAATGTACACATTGGGATATATGTCAACAAGTTTCCTGGTATGAATAAACTGTAAAATGTCCATCACCAACTTTGCATGTGGCAACATTGATGACAATTTATTCAATTCTTCGTACAGTTCAAGTCCATTTAAATCAAAACTATCACCGTGCTTCAGGAGGCTCTCAAGATTCTTGCACTTTGCCATTCGCTGCTCTTGTTTTCCTATTTCATTGAATTTAGTTATGTCATACAAAATTCCGTACTGTTCATGGTGTATTCGTAAGATATTAAACCTCTCATCAATGGCAGATATTGCTTTATCCATCACAACATTAAAAAATTCAACCTCAAATTTCTTTTCTGGATCATCTGTGGGCTCATCTGCTCCTTCATATTCCACTTGCCATTTTTTCCTTGAAACTCATGTCATGTTTGGCCATGGAAATTTTGGTTCTACACCGAGTGCCTGTGCAAGCTCTCTTGCTGTAACCTGTGCTTCTTTGAATCCATTTTCTCTGTATTTCACTAAGAAGTCTTGTGTGTTGTTTAGTAAGGTAAGTGTTGAATCAAGCTGCATCATTGGACTCTGCATTATTTTCTTACACTTGAGATTTTAACAAGAATGTCATACCAGATTACGACAGATGTTAGGAACTTGAAGCTGGATATTTCAGAGGCCAATGACTGTGCTTCACTTTTAGCTTTTGGCTCTCTGGCTTCTTCTGAAATAGTAACCAGTGCTTCATAAACTTCCTCATATTGATATCTCAATGTTTTTGCACTTTCTACTCTGCTTTCCCAGTGTGTCTCAGATAGAGGCTTAACAATAATACCATTGACATGTGCTTTGAATATTTGGCATCGTTGAGTGGAAGCTGAAAAGAGCACGTAAATGTGTTGCAGCAAACCAAAAAAAGAAATAGCTTCTACAGAGGACTTGGCCATATCACACAAAATCAAATTAAGGCTGTGGCATACACACGGAACAAAAAAGGCTCATGGATTTTCTGCCAGCAATCTAGCTTGCACGCCAGAAATGCATCCTCTCATATCATAGCCTTGTCCTCTAATATTCATTACAGACAATCCCATTCATTTTAGTTCATCAAGGAGAGCTTGAAGATGTCCAAAACTTGTAGCGTCCTCTACTTCTAAAAATGTGATAAACGATTCCTTAACTGTAATCTATGCTGAATCACTAATGTCAACAAATCTCACTACTAACAACATCTGTTCTTCATGACTTCTGTCCGGAGTGCAATCTACAATTATGGCAAAATATTTTGCCAAAGTAACCAATGAAACAATTGTATCTTTCACTTTATCACTCATTAGCATGATCAGTTAATTTTGAATTCTTGGTCCCAAATAGTGGTCATGTATTTCATTTTCAGTTACTCTTCGGAGATGTTCACTCATCACTGTGTCAAATTTTCCCAGCAGTTGTACAAGGCTCAAAAAATTGCCATTTTTGGGCTGGAATAATTTCTTAACCCTTCCTTTTAAAGGAAGATTGTTTGTTGATAGATATTCAACAATAGATAATAGACATTCAAGAATACAACGCCAATGCTGCTTCTCTAACTCCAGCAATCTTTGATTAGGGGCATTAAGAGTTGTCTGATTTTTTAACCTTACACTCAGCTCACACCATTTATGCATACTTTCAATATGGTGTTGTGCCTTTTCATGTTGCGGTAATGTGTGACTAAGATTTTTCCAATCATTAATACCCATGGTTGCTATCTTAAAATTGACAGGTTTCAGAGTAGCAGTTGTGTTAGTCTGTATCCGCAAAAAGAACAGGAGTACTTGTGGCACCTTAGAGACTAACAAATTTATTTAAGCATAAGCTTTTGTGGGCTACAGCCCACTTCTTCGGATGCATAGAATGGAACATATATATATACACATACAGAGAGCATGAAAAGGTGGGAGTTGTCTTACCAACTCTGAGAGACCAATTAAGTAAGAGAAAAAAACTTTTGAAGTGATAATCAAGATAGCCCACTACAGACAGTTTGATAAGAAGTGTGAGAATACTTACATGGGGAGATAGATTCAATGTTTGTAATGGCTCAGCCATTCCAAGTCTCTATTCAAAGCTAAGTTGATTGTATCTAGTTTGCATATCAATTCAAGCTCAGCAGTTTCTCAATGGAGTCTGTTTTTGAAGCTTTTCTGTTGCAAAATTGCCACCCGCAGATCTGTCATTGAGTGACCAGACAGGTTAAAGTGTTCCCCTACTGGTTTTTGAATGTTATGATTCCTGATGTCAGATTTGTGTCCTTTAATTCTATCTCCCCATGTAAGTATTCTCACACCTTTTATTCTCACAGGGCCTTTCTCAAGTATAATGGCACGTAATTCGTTGTTTAAAGATTGCGGCCATGCGCAATGTCATCTATATCCCATGCTAGTACAGTTTCAACTGTTGTAATTTCTTGCTTTGTGTCTGCATCTGTTTCAAATGATTGTTCCGTGTGTTGTTGTGTTTCTTGAGCTTTGTCTGCATAAAAATTTTCTTCACGCAGCGCACAGTCAACTTGTGGAACTCCTTACCTGAGGAGGTTGTGAAGGCTAGGACTATAACAGTTTTTAAAAGAGAACTGGATAAATTCATGATGGTTAAGTCCATTAATGGCTATTAGCCAGGATG